CTTGTAGGGCTGTGGGGCTAGAGGTTGTGAGGCTTGGGGCCTGGAGCTTTGCGTTTACACGGTGTCAGGGTTCAGGGCATCAGTCCGATGCTTCATTGTGCATCGTAGGATTGGGTTTTGTTCTGATTTCGGCTTGGTGGGCTTGGGCGTTGCAGCCTTTGTTGAATTGGCGACAAGTCTGTGCTCGGAAACGTCACCTCGGATGGAGCCAAACTCTGAGTTGCATCAGCAACACGCGCAGCTGTGGATGAAAATTCGAAGCCCTCGGCATCTCGTATCATCGCCGACTCTTTTGTTGTGGGCCTCCTTGCACTTGAAAAAGCCTCTCGCTGCAACATCTTGAGGATCTTCTGCATCGAACGAAAAACGGCTGTACCCTGGGCCGTAGACCAAGAACCCTAAATGAACCCCAAACCCTAAACCCAAGCCCATGGACTGTAGCCTGAAACCTCACTTGAGCATAGGGCATTGGGGGGGCTAAGGTTTGGGAGCTTTCCTTAGGACCTCCAATCCAAAGCCAAACAGGCTAGTCTGACTTGAAGTAGTATATCGCTTAAGGATGCTGAAGGGGTTCCGAGTATCCTTAAGATACAAGCTTTGCAGCTTCTTGGTTGGACAGGGCAGGGCTTCTTAAGGTTTAAGCTACTATGTAGGAATCCTTATGGTAAGGATCCACCTTCTTTGGTTCGTATTTGGGTCTTTCAGGTTCCGGGTTCTGTCCGGCTGTGGAGTTTGTACCTGCTCCAGGTGGCTGGGTTCTTGTGGTGAATTTGGGGGCTTGTGGGCTTAGGAGGTATTAGGTGCTTTGAGGGTTTTACATTCGGGCTTATCGGGTGCAGTAGGGTGTCCGCGCTTTGGTGGTGTTCTCGATTGTGGGGGTTGGAGGGTTCAGGTGCAAAAACAAAAAGTGACAAACCCTGACTCTAAACTACCAACATAGGGCCTATCTCATCGAGTGATCTGCGGATGTTGCAGAGATTTGCAGGACTTTGTCGGGGCTATGTAGCAGTATATGTCTAACAGGGTCGCAGTATACGTTTGGTAGGGTCGATAAGGGCGCGCAAGTTTATCATCTGGGTAGTTGTCAAAATTAAGGTCCCTTCTTGGGTACCCTAAACTAGGATACCCAGTAACCTACGAATAAAAAGGCCTCTCTTTTTGGTATTGGGTAACTTTATAAGGAACCTAGGACTACAAAAAGGTAATAAGGGTACTACTGGGCATCCTAGCTAAATATTAGGGACCCCAAAAAAGACCCTAATTTGGACAACCACCCATCTCTTCACCCTCAGCCCCAATAGGCTCAGATCCCGGGGATCCTGACATCTTCCTGCAGGCGGTCCCTCTACCTGTGCAGTCAGGGATACAGGGAACTCCAGAAAGTTGGAATATGGTTTCATGGTAGGAAACCCTATAATTTACCATAGAAGGGTTAGGATAATCATATTCCAACTTCCAACTTTCTGGCTTTTACGTCAGGGTTGAGGATCAGAAGATCGGATTTTGGGTTCGAGCCGGTCCTGCGCATTTTACTCGACATGGAGACTTCAGAAATGGAGGATACAGACACCAAGTCGTGGGATGCCTTTCTACAGAAGGTACCACGTAAGAAGGCTTCAATCGCCCTCAAGAAAGGCCACCTCACACCCATGTATAAGCTCCAGAGACATCTGTAATAACCCGAAACCCGAAATCCTAAGTTTCTATTGGGAATCCGCGGCTTGATGGGGTCTTTACGAGGGCTTTACTCCACGTCTTTGGCCTGAGGATTTCGGGTTTTGTGCTAAGGTTTCAGGCTTAGGTAAAGACTCTTGCCTGAAACCATTGTGACAAGTCCTCTGTAGAGTAAGGCGAATACCAATAACTAGCCAATACTTGCAACCTGCACACCTGCACTCTGAATTGCATGACCTGCTATCGTGTGCGTATGTTTGTTACAGGACCCTAAGGTAAAAGCCAGAAAGTTGGAATATGATTATCCTAACCCTTCTATGGTAAATTATAGGGTATCCTCCCATGAAACCATATTCCAACTTTCTGGAGTTCCCTGTAACTGTGCAAACAGGATGCACCACAAAACTACTAACGGTCTAAACTCCAAGACCGATAAGATCCTAACGCGTCACTTGAGGCTTTGGGGGGGTTAGGTCTTTACCCAGAGGCTCCATAGTAGTTCCTTTTTGGGATTACCTTATAGGACTCTATATATGAACCCCAAAAAGGAACTACTTTGGAGCCTTAGGGTAGGGGTGAAAGGGCGGCTGGTAGCGAGTTGGAAGTTGGAGAAGACCGACTATTTCTGAAGGGTGGTAACAGGTAGGGCTCACACCCCCATTCCGTACCTATTCGGGTGCCCCTATGTTCAACCTTCGAAGCCGTGAACGCTCCTGAGTTGTCAGGGCTTGAAGTTCTGGCTTCGGGTTTGAGTTCAAAGCCAAACCCCACACCCTGAACCACAAACCCTTTCTGTGGGTGTGGCTCATCTGTAGATCTGAGTTTTCCTTCCCAGCAAACGAACCGGTAGCAACTGTGTAAACTAGTATGGAGTCCGTAAAAGACTACTGAGTTGCTGGTGCAAAAAAACAATCTCACCAACACCCGGCGAGCCTCCCGCTGCTTGCGTCCAGGAGTGTCCACTCACTGTCCTTGCCAAATTTTGAAACCCTTGCCCGCAAATCCTTTGGATAAATACCCGCTTTAATTGGAAATGATTGGAATAGGGTTTGGCAGCGCATTATACGACAGTGTCATAAGAGCTATATTTGCAAGCTCATCTAATCATCGTCCTTATGTAGTATCGCGTTATTATAGTTACTCTCCACCACAGCATCCTATTGTTCTAATTCTTCATGCTCCTGTATTAAGCCTTCGTTTTCCCAAAGCGGAACTTTTTGAAGCTAAGCCCTGCACCTTAGATTTGGAAGCTTCGAGGGTTCCCTGAACCTCAGAGCGCTGCAACTTTTCTAGACTCCTAGACCTAAGAATAACCTAGGAACGAAAAGGGTGCCCTTTTTGGTGTAAAGGGTGTCATAAGGAAACCTGAACCCTAAAAGAGGGAAATAGGGGCTTACTCTGGGTCTTAGACTTCTTGATTGGGAGCCCCTATAGACCTCACAATGCAAAGCCTTGGCACCTGAAACCGCTGTTGGCTTTTCGTAGAAGCCAGTAGAACTCCTCCCAATGCCGTGAACCCTTACAGACATGCTCAGAATTTGCCTTTAGAAGTCCTTCTAAAGCCCTAATACCCTTGCAGAAAGAACCTCTCCACAGAACCCTTCTGGAGAACCCCAATAGACCTCCACCAACAAAGCAATCTAAACACCAAACCCTTAGATTCGTAGATTCTGGAGCCTCGGCATTCTGGCTGAATAGAACTGCCTTCCCTGTCGGAAAACATGCACAACCCTGGCAAACGGATCAGAGCTCCAAAAAACAACCACAAGTGGAACCCAAGGGAGGTTTTGGTGTATACCCCAAACACCAGATTCCCATACTTCCAGTCGGACTCTGCGTTGGGTTGAATTTGGCTTCGTTTCTTCATGTATTTTAAGCAGGCTCTTTGTTTCTGCTTACCTTCGGGGCCTTCTGGGGTCTGGGGCTTGATTGAGATTTCGGGTTCAGCTTGTACGGTTTGCGGCTCAGCACGAACATTATTCGAAGAAGCACGTGCCAGGACCCCCCAAGGGCCCTGTAATGGAGTCCCTATGGGCCTTACTAGCGGGAATTTGGGTACTGCATATGAGAAGGTACTTGGGGTGTCTACCTAAGGCCCCATAGTAGTTCCTTTTGGGATTCAGTTTTGGAAGTCATCCCAAAAAGGAACTTCTATGGGGCCTCTGGGTAGGTGGTGCAGCGACAATCCTAACGACTCGGAGGTCCTCCTCGCCTTCCTGCGCCACACCCGGCAGGTGCCGGGGCCTAAGAATTCTTGGACAGAAGGCTCCCGTCTTCAGGGCTTTAGGGGGGTTTAGGGCGTTTAGGGCTTAGGGTTTAGGGTTGAGTCGTTTTGACAGGGTTTAGTAGTCGGATTTCTTCAAGATCCCACGACGTAGCATCAATACTCACGGAGCTTTTCAAAGTCTGTCAGTAGTAGAGGCTACGCAAGCCATGCTCCAGGGTAGTCTCGAGGTGTGGAGAATGAGAATAGCCTTGTGGGGTATAATATTCCGACCCCCGCCCATACCGCGGCCAAGCTCAAACCCCTCCCATACAAAAAAAACACCTGCAGTTCATGAAGCCTGGAAGATAAGGGTCCTGGAAGCCGTGAAAAGGATCTGCGAGTATGAATACTGTGAACTGCAGAAACGCTTTAGCCGTTCGAAGCATCCAGGGTTTGCGTGGCGGGGCGAAAGGCCCTAAAATGCCCCGCGAGCCTTGCCTTAACCCTAAACCCGAAACCCTAAACCGCAAAACCCTAAACTTGCCAAGCCTTCCACCCAAAAGGATCCTAAGTGCCCAAACAGAAGACTTTATGGTTTCTTTCTTTGGAATTATATACCAATCATTTGGGGAAGTATCCCCCCATAACAGTACCTAGTACCTGTATAGGGCTTCTAGGGACAAACCTTATAAGATGATGTAATCAACACTAGGCATCCTAAACTCTGCACCCTAGACGGCCCCAAATCCCAGACCCTGGATCCAACATACCTGGTCCTAGTAGTAGAGTAGGTAACCTTGTAACCCTCTTTGGGTAGTATAGTCCCTATATAATCTCTAAACAACCCAAAAAGTTAACCTTTAGTTCCCCATGATACCCGACAAGTAGGTAGTTAGATACCTATAGTCCCCTAACAGCTCCCTAATTTCTAGCATGCAGCCTCTCAGTTCCCAAGACCCTAACCCTGCATCCCGAACTCAAGAGCCCGAAGCTTGAATCCCTGAACCCCAAACCTCGAAAATCCCAAAGCCCTTGTAGAAGCCGTACCGGAACACTTGAAAGAGCCCGTAGAGCCCCCACGAAACCCGCAAGCGAAGACCGCTGGAAAGGGCCAGGGTGCGACGTCCGAGCCGCAGAGCCGGCCTCTCCGAAATCACGACGAAAGGGTTTAAGGTTTAGGATTTGGGGAAAACTATAGTTCGTTATACAAAACAAAAAACCCACGGCCCTAGAACGCCCTAATGCCTGCTATATACCCATTGGGTATATTTGAGAGATTAGCAGGCTCAACATAGCCCAAAGGCGCTAAGACAGTATGGTCTTTGGGCCCAACAGCCTTAAGCTATGAGACCTTGCAGCCGTAGGGTGACCCAAATACGGAAGCCCCCGACAATCTGGGGTGATTCACGTGATCAAAGGCCCCGAAAACCCCCAATTCGCCTGAAGTCCAAAAAACTGAACACGCCGAACACCCTCCTGAACCCTGTAAGCCCTAAGTCCTAAAACCTGAAATCCTAAAACCCAACCCTGAAACCCTATAAGCCCACAAGCCCTACCTGGACCCTGCAAACCTTCCTTTTCAGGGTTCCCTACTTTGGCTTGCTTACATACGTCCTTAAAAATCTAAGATACTTGGGTTTTATTGTAAGTCCTAAAACCCGAGTTCCAAAACCCTAGCACCCCGGGAAGCCTCGAGCTCCCTCCTGCTTGAGGGATTTTTTTTTGGGCTTCGGGTTTAGGTTTTAGGGGGGGGTTTGGGGGTTTAGGGGTGGGGGGTTTATGTGTTTAGGGTTTGGGGGTTAGGGGTTTTAAAGCTGAACCCGGCAAGGACCCATCGGCAAGGACCCAACAAACTCTGTCCTATCAGATAGGCCGCCTCACACCCGACACCGTGAAACACGTGAAGCCTCCAGCCACGTCTCGTTATTAAACGACCTGGTGTCGACCCTACATAACAGTGTCCTCCGCCATATTCTCGCTGTGACTACGAAGGTGGTCTTGACCAGGAATATCATCATGACAGCGATAATGATGCTGATGATAACGATGTCAATGATGATTACTTCTGAGATAGGGGCTCACAGTATCCTTACTCTGGTCATTATCAATATTGTTATTGCTATCAGCACTCTTATTGTGATCGTGACTCATGCTGATAGGCTTGCTGCGATATCCACCATTACTGTTGCGAACCGTAGTTGCTACTAGCAATGCTGCTACTTAGACTATCCCCTTTCGGAATGTAAGTTACCACAATAGGCATCAGTACTAAATTTTATGGTTTCTTTACTATAGTAACAACCCTAAACCCTAAACCCTAAGCCCTAAACCCCAAACCCTAAACCACTTACCTTAGATCCCGTAACAAGAGCCCAGTAGTTCACGGATCTGCGCCGGCCTGCTGCGCTTGCGGCCCTGGCTCCGAGGACTCTTCGGGGTTAGCGGTCATGGAGGGGGGTAATTAGGTAGAATAGGGTAAAGGGGTGTAGGGTTTAGAGGTTAAGGGTTTAGGGGTTTAGGGTTTGGGGTTTAGAGGTTAAGGGTTTAGGGGTTTAGGGTTTAGAGGTTAAGGGTTTAGGGGTTTAGGGTTTAGGGTTTAGAGGTTAAGGGTAAAGGGGTTTAGGGTTTAGAGGTTAAGGGTTTAGGGGTTTAGGGTTTAGAGGTTAAGGGTTTAGGGGTTTAGGGTTTAGGGTTTAGAGGTTAAGGGTTTAGGAGTTTAGGGTTTAGAGGTTAAAGGTTTAGGGGTTTAGGGTTTAGGGTTTAGAGGTTAAGGGTTTAGGGGTTTAGGGGTTTAGGGTTTAGGGGTTTAGGGTTTAGGTTGAAAGAACCCTTATAGAACCTTAAGGCAAGCCTTCTACTGTAAGTTTCGAGTCTTATCGTTGACGATCTTCGGGTTTCCGGTCTGGGGGGTTGTCAGTCAAACGGTGCACATCTGAATTCTGAGTTCCACGACTATTACACATAAAAATCCTGGAAGCTCAATAAACCTTAGATAAAGTGTATTAAATACAACTAGATTCTAATTTGTTAAACTAGATTGTATACTTTGCTATACTACATCTTCTACTATATCATATTATCTAAAGTTGCTGAATCTTAAAACCCTCTCCCTCCCACCAGTCGCCCAGTTGTCCGGAAGGATCCAAGCAGTAGAACCCCCACCTTTGCATACCGGGCTCAAGTGCATGTTCTAGGGAATCCCAAGGCGGCACGTTTGGTAAGAAATCCTTAAGGCCTTGCAGGCATCTACCTTGCAGATCCTCAAAAACGATCTGGTTTTGAGAACGCCGAAATGCCGCAAGAAGCTAAATAGGGGCCCTAATATAGAACCCTAAAAAGTAGGATCCTCAGCCCCTAAAAAGTAGGATCCTCAGCCCCAACATACGGTACCCCTAATTTTCGGAAACTCCCGTTGAGCCTGATGGCTTCGCTGGTGGGGACACGCAGCCCAAGTGCTCCTGCGCCGACTGCGGGCCCCTAGGATCCAGGGAGCTCTCTTATCCCTCATTTATTTACCCAGAGGCCCCAAAGTAGTTCCTTTTTGGGATTGCCTTATAGGGTTCTATATATGAACCCCAAAAAGGAACTACTTTGGGGCCTTTGGGTAACGTACTCCTGAGATCATGTTGAAGATTCTTCGATAATTTAGGGAAGGTTCGTGAACTAAGGGGCTTATGATGCCAAATGGATCCTTATAGACTTATAGGGTGTGGAGTTGGAAAAATGATTTACCGCATGGTTCAACCCTGAACCCCAAACGTGGATATTATAAATTTCGGCCCCAACCTTTACGGCCTAAGTATATACTTTTTAGCTACATGCAGCCTTAGGGGCTTTAGGAACGGCAACTCGAGGCTTCGCAGCTTTGAATTTTTACAAGTTCGGAGTTTCAGGCGGGCCTGCAACCCAAAAATAGACGTGTGCTGTAAAGGGTTAGAGCAGAAGCCAGAAAGTTGGAACATCAAAACCATCAGGGCCAAGAGGATACAAAGCCAAGACAAAGCACTCTGCCCTGGGGGCTCAAAACCATCATGCCCCTAAGGTAAAATACAAGAAATCCCAGCACAAATCATCCCAAATCCATGTTCCAACTTTCCGGGGCTCATCTTATCAAGGTGGTTTTGAAGTGAGGAACTCTACGATTCTAGGCGTGTTAGGTGCCAACGTTCGATTGCAAGGCGGAGCCAAAGCCAAAACGCTGAATGCCTTTGCCTTGTCAACGGTACCCCACCGCTCTCTCTCTCTCTCTCTCTCTCTCTCTCTCTCTCTCTCTCCCGCTCTCTAGAAACTTTACAAGAAGAGTGCCTATAAGTCAAAGGCATTGTGGTATGCAGCGCTGCAACGGGGATTGGAAAAAACTGAAGCTCAGAGCTTATGGATTTAGGGTGTAGGGTAGTAGCAGCTATGGGGATTCGACCCGGCTGTCCGGCGCCTCTACTATCGTGTAACCCAGACTCGAACCCCGACCAGTGAGATGCTACAGCTGCTTTGTTGGATTCGGCATTCGGGACTCCAGAAATCAAGCAGGGCACTCCAAGGTAGACGCAAAGATCCTCTAGTTGTACAGAACCCCCCCTACTCCACCCCACCCCGTTCAATCGAAAGGTGGCATGCGGTCCGAATTCAGGAGCATGGCCAAAAGCTGCAAAGTTGGTGTCGTTTCCTGGCAAGGGCGGGATGATGGGTCGCAGGAAGGGTTTTAGGGCTACAAGCATGTCGGCAAATGCTGGGACTTTTGGCTTCCGGGGTTGTACACTTAAATTTAAAAGGATGCAAAGTAGCTCGGTTGCGAGTGTAGGTATGGGGGCCGAGTACAGGTGGGCGGCCCTACACCCCAAGTCGGAAAACCCAGCAAGACACAGGACCAACACCCTCGAGCTGCACAGTTGCACCATCCGGCTTGAACCCACCCGTCACACCCTCACGAACCCTGAACCCTGCCCCGCTTAAACCAACAAAACCCCAGAGCACCTTGAACCCCTGAACCCAAAGCCCCAACATTGGGACTCTTGAACTTGTCCAACTTACAAATCCCAATGCCTACCAGGACCCCCCAACCCCTTTCATAGAGCGCTTACATGGAATTTTATTGTGCCAGGATACGATGTGAGCAAGGACACTGAAGACCAACACGGTGGTCAGTGCCTCCTCGTCGTGCGGCTGCTGCTTGGCACGCAAGTTGCGCACTGCGTCAACCCGTCCACTTTGCCTGCCGCTCCCTTTGCGAGGCAGGCCGTTGCGAAGGCCAGAAAGGCGTGACCTCTGCAGTCGACGACAATGTCACCGAACATACTGCTGAAGAACGCCAATGTACCGATTGCCAGTGTGCCACGATCGGATCGGTCAGCTTCAGGTCGCCGCAAGAGCCACGTGGCGACAGAAGGCAACTTGGCCCAAGCAGCCGTGTGTACAGGCTGCTGGCAACTTCGATCCAAAGAAGACTGGGCGTGCGGAATGGGTCCCTCTGACGCTGCTCAAAAACTAAAACTATATATGTTGCTATGACTCCACAGGAGAGCGGAAGGAAAAAACCGGCAACCATATGGCCCTTAATGGTGATTACGGCGATGATACGGGGTCGTTGTTGGGTCAAGGTAAACCCCAAACCCCAGAACCCCCATAGAACGCCGGTCGAACCCTCATAGAATCATTATGAAACCCTTGTCTTGTTGAAATCCTACCCTAATTAGGCCTGACCCCTAGCACCCGAAACTTAGCCCCGAAACCTTTAGGTCCCAGACCTCAATGGACCCATCTAGTGCACCGTACCATAGAATCCTGAACGCCCACAGGACAAAGTAGACCCCAAACATTTGGCGTCCACAAACCTGCATACTCTTGTAGAGCCTTTACAGTAGAAGCCAGAAAGTTGGAATATCATTATCATAATCCCTTTAAGGTACAATATAGGGGATCCTACCATTAATCCATACATTCCAACTTTCTGGAGTTCCCTTTAAGTCATAAACACTCAACCCGCCAGTTCAAACCTCTAAGCCAAAATACCCTAACCGCGCCACAACACGCTATAGCTCCCTTAGGCGGTGTAAACCCTGTCAGGACCCTGCGAGAAACATGAAAAGAACAACTTGCATAGAAACCGCAGAAAAACGAACCCAACCCCTAAACCCTAAACCCCTAAACCCTAAACCCCTGAACCCTAAAGCCTACGGCCGCCTTCGGCCCGACACCCTGACAGCGGCAGAGGCACAGCAAGTCCTGACAGAAGGCCCGGAGACCCAGAAAGGCAAGATCCTTGAAATACGGATGGAAGTTATGGCAAGCTTTCGGACATGTTGAAAGCTTGTCGAAATTGTATACGCGCTTCAGAGGATTCACTTTGGGTTATATCGGGGTTCACAATAAACCCTTCTAATTAGGGGTAAAGTCTCTGTGGTTCATCTACTAAGGAGGTGGATATTCTACGGTCCGGGTAGAATCCAAATAAGAAGCAGGATGCTTTGGGCACGGAGAGACCTCGGAATGTGGACTTCACCGCTGGTGACACGGGTGGTTATCCACTCGCGATTGTGGGACAGAGTTTAGGGTGGGCCTCTACGCCCAGTGCAAGCGTCCGAAACCCGTACTCAATGAGTTTAACCCTATTTTTAGCCCTAAGCCCCCTAAAACCCCCTAAAACCCCCTGAACCCCAAACCCCAAAATAACCCCTGCGCATTCCTTGCCTGGTCGACGAGGCGTAGAGCTGCCACCTGGGTTCGGGTCTGTTTCGATTTTGAAGTTGTTTAAAGGTTGGGTTTCCGGCTTTATAGGTTTAGAGGCGGCTGCCCGACTTGACTCTGTAGCCTCGTAAAAAAGCTGAAGAATTACTGTCCCAAAGATATCTTGTTTCCTCGAAATGTCTAGAATCGGGACCGTACGGCTCTCATAAAGCCCTTCAAAGAGCCCGTTAACGGAACTCCAGAGTACGATTGGGCAACCTAGAGGAACCCATGGGTCTGATCCAAAGAAGTTTTTCAGAAGCCTGTGAATCCATCTGAAGGATTGGCTAAAGGGTCTCGGGTTCCAGTCTTGGCATTTCGGGTTTCCTTTTTGGGAGCTCTCAGCGTCGCAGTCGAGGGCATTTCTTGCAAACAGTCACCAGCAGGTTGTGGTAATTGAAGAATTAAACACGCTGAACACTTAATATGACATAAGTTCCCAAGCTGCCAAACACCCCCATGCCCGAGTCAGTCAGAACCACGAAGCCGTGTTCGGCATGAGTTAGCTGGGTGTCGGGGGCACCCTATTGTTTGGCTACCCTTATTCCGATTCCAGGATCCTAAAAATGATATGTACAAGGCGAAGCGTACAGAGCCAAGACGGAACAGGACGAACAAATAGAAGACATACTCTGACAAATGGCACCATTCATCAGTACGGGCAACCACAAACCCTTAGACCCTGGATGATGATGAAGAGGCACAGGACAATGTCTTACTCATGATGAGACTGCAAATCCTCACGGTCACCAACATCGTCATCGTCATGGCCGATCTCATCATCATCATCATCATCATCATCATCAGATTTACGCACGCTGTGGGATGCTCCGGATGGTCTTCGGCTGCAGCCCAGAGGCGAACTCAGGTGTGCAGATCTTGTCGCACACCTGGCAACACAGTGGAACTTTGAAAGTCCCCGTACACTAGGGGCCTTAATCATTAGACAGGGGTCCTGGTGTATATTATACTTTTGTTGTAATCAGGAACCCCCAAAATAGTATAGGTACTTATTTGGGCCCCTATAGTGCCTGAACACGATAGCAACTCAAACTCGTCACTCTGGAACCGTGCAGCAGGATTAGCTCACAATGGATGCTACAGTCATGCTGAATATTGAGGTAAAACTTAGAACATGCCAACCCACAACATTTGAAGACATCACGACTACGCTGAGCAACGATACCTTCTCTCGTAGCATCCAGTCTTGATAGCGAAAGTTTACCTGGACCCTATAAGGAACCTACCTTTTTTGGGTTTCCTAATATGGTTTCTTTATATAAGTCCTTAAAAAAGGTAGGCTACGTGGGGTTAAGGTCAAGCAAACAGGCTAGCACAGCAGCCCGAAAGAACGGTCATAGCATCACTTCATAGTCTGCGGGGGGTGGTGGGCCGCCTCGCGACTTGACTGCAAGAAGGACGCTTGGGCGACTGCGAGAAAATTCCATGGGTTTAGGGGGATTTGGCCTTTCGAGGCTGCTCTGGAGCTTTACGGGTTTCAGGCTTTTACACTTGGGATTTTCGTTTGTGCTGGCATGGTGACCACTTCCAGCTGCCACTATCACTACGACTACCAATACCAGTATTACCCATACTATGACAGTCATCACAGTACCGACCCAGAGACTCCAATATCCCTTAATTAAGGAATATACCTTAAATCATATAAGGGATCCTACCATAATTTACGGAATATTCCTTAATTAAGGGATATTGGAGTCTCTGGGAAATTGGGCGTAGATTCCCCAGAAGCCGTGCCCGGAAGGCGCTGAAGTGATGCCAGCGTGCCAGAAAGGGGTGCCTGGAGCATTACGGCTCGAGGCGGTTCGAGGTGTAGGGCCTAGGCAGGAAGGGTTTAGGGTTTAGTGTATTTTGGGGCACTGTATGGCTGGGATGCAGGGTCGATTGAGGGGTGCGGGCTTCAAGAAGGCACGTACTGAAGTAGTACCTATCTTGGGCAGGCTAGAATTGCGAGCTCGTCGCTCGCGCGGGTACCCTGCAGATAAATTGCGTCAGAACTCAAAGCCCTCCCTGGTAGACACCTTCATCGTCCCGACATGTAACTACTGAGGCTCGTTCTTCAAGAAGACTCACAGAGAGCACTGAGCATCGAACCTGAAGTTATGCAGTTGGCAAGATGCATGCAAATTTCATACAAAGGCCCCGCAAGCATCATAAGCCCGGGTTAGCCGCAAATCACTAGGCCCTTTAATCGTCATCATTCCCTAGGTGGCTGAAGCTGATGGCCCCCGAAGCACGATGCAGCTGTCATCTGGCTGCGCAGCCCGTCATTGACTTGTTCTGCAGATTGCAGATCCCACAGAAACTCGCCATCTGCCTGAAGGAAGGCCATAAACCGTAAACACTAAACCCTACCTCCAGGTGCAGGTGGACCATGCATACTGTACATGTAACTGTGGCTTCCGAAAAATTCAGGCTACTTAACTGATAGTTTCGGAAGACAAGGGGCCTCATGGAGAACCCTCAACACTAGTGTATACTGGGATCCTACGTACAAATGAGGCTTCCACAGCACATAGAGCAAATCTTGATTTTCAGAACCCCTCTCCTACCCCCCGAAGAACCGTTGTAAAGCCCTGTGCAAAAACATGATAAAACATCATGATGCCCTTTTATAACACAATAAAGCCGTAAAATATAATGCTACAGAGCATCATAAACCCTGCGGGAATCCCATCATCGCATCTGAGGTGTTCAATGACCCTTGACCAATCTATGAAAACCACCTGAAACCCTGGTCTGGAACCCATTGATTAAGCCCCAAAACCCTTAAACCGAGAAGAGCAAAGACACACACAAAAATCGTGTACCAGTACCCTGGCTTAAAACCCTCTACGTAAGAAACCCTGAAAAACCTGAGACCCCGAAGCCGAAAAAAAACAAAGCACACACCGGATTGGGTCCCGGCAGGACGCTCGGCAGGGTCCACATGGGTGCCTCATGTGCCTGCCACTGGAGGGCTCTTTAAACAGGGCTTAGGGTTTTAGGGCTTAAGTTTTTGGAAGTAACTTCTTATAGGATGTTGAATGTTTGGCAAATTTCGATTGCTGAACATGGAGCCCGAACTACTTAGAAGCAGTTAGACCCGGGTTTTTGGGGCATGACGAAACACAACAACAGTGCGGAACCAGTAGGAATAGTGCTGGTGTTCAGGCCCAAGTCCTACCCGGAGGTTCGAACTTAACACTTGGGTACTTGCTGGTAGGATGACAGTGTAGTCGGTTAGTACTCAGATGACTATACGGTAGTTGGGATTGGTAGTTAGGATTTAGGTTTTCGGGGAAGGTGGCTTAGGGTTAAGGCCTGCGTGTTGTGAGTATTTCGGAAGTTTAGAGGTTTAGGGTTGAGTTGTGAAGGCTTAGGCTTCGGGATACAGGAGTAGGAATCTAGGATCAAAGGCTACGTAGAACTGTAGAACTGTATAACTAAGAGTCTTTGGAATGTACTGGCTTAATTCAGGAAGCAGGGACCAAAAGGTCGAGGATATTTAGGGTTGAGGGCTTCGCAAGGGGCATTTACGTGAGAAATGTAGGATTTGGGACTGCGGCTCCGAGGTCGAATGTCCGAAGTCGAGTTGGTGGGGCCGAGTGACTGCAATGTGAGCAGTCGGAATATGCTGTTGAGTGTAGATTCAAGAGAGGATGTTATCAGCATATACATGAATGCGATAAGGCATGCAAAAGGTGAGATGAAGCGGTTGTCGTTGTGATGGCTCCATGGTGCTTGGCTGATAGTTCAGGGTGTCTGAAACGTCCCAAGAGCCCCAACACCCTAAACTCCAAGCCCCAACCCACCCAAATTGCCTGAGCCCTGGTGAGTGTGACAGCAACACCTCTTGGGATCTGAGGTAACGAAATAAATGAAGGTTCGGGGGCTGCTGCTGGGAGGTGGCTTCGAGTTCAGCATGGTCAAGCTGTCTGAAAACGTGGCAGACACAACTTACCTTTGGTGAGTAGGGAATGGAAGAATGGTAGTAATAGTTATAATAATTTTACCCCATTACTCCATTCCCTACTAACCAAAGGTAAGACAAAGGGCCTTCGGGGGTCAGTGCTGTTGTCACACAGCTTGCACTTCCACTCTGCCATGGATTGGAAGTCACGTTTACACCAGAGCCTTCCCGGCCTTCATACTAGTTACCTTAAGGACTATGCTAAGGGTTCTATGATAACTACAGTGCTACAAGCGGGGTTGAAACCCTTTGAACCCTATCCCTCAACAGCACCCCGAGACTACTACCATTTTCGAAAAGTCGGGTTAAAGCTTTAGGAGAGCTTAGGCGCCACGAAAAACTGCCCTGATTGATAGGAACCCTCGCAGAATGAGGATGAACATAGAGGAACCTGCTAGCAAGGATTTAAACGCAAACCCTACTACTTTCCAGGACCCCCCAGGGGCCCTTCAACGGAGTCCTTATGGCCCTTAATAGTGGGTCTTTGGGTTTTGGGTGTATTAGAGATCAGAGGGTACTGGGGGGGGCTAGGTTCAAGAATCTGCATCGACCGCCTGGGGGGTTGAGGCTTCGCAGCTTTCAATCTCCGACTTCTCGAATATCTTATCGTTCTACGGTTTCGCCCCGGGACTCCGCAGAAAATCCTCTTCGGGGCTACCGCCAGAAGAGGAACTACTATGGAGCCACAGGGTCGGCTCTAGTTTAAGGCTTTCAAAGGGTTTGGGGCCAACGTTTGGGGTTATGGGGTCTACATAGGGTTGCAAGGTGACGCTGCACTGAAATCCGAACCTGCCATGCAAGCAGAACCTGACGATAGCGGTTCTTGCCCGGCAAAACAGAATGAGCATTAATATAGGGGCCTTGGTAATTAGAATAGGGTTTGGGGGCCTACTATACTATAATTACGATATAAGGACCCCACCCCCCCCAAATACTGTAGGTCATTATTTCAGCCCCTATACTAAGGAGCAATCCCTGACCAAAGGGTTTCTGGAGACTGCAAGTTTTGCAATCCCACGAAACCCGGTCAAAGTCGAGGTTGAAACTTCTCTATCAGGCCTCTTTATAAGCCTCAATATGTTCAACTCCTCAAGAGAAATCCGACACCAATGATGCCAAGAGACTTGGCTTGGAGCTCCTGAATTTGGATGCTGAGTCCAATAAACCTACCTAATTAGGTACCTTTAAAGGGTGTCTATAGGAGTTCCGAAAAGTTTATATAGCGGCCCTTCGTTAGATATCTTAACTAGGAGGGTGTTGATGGGGTATCTCCGAGTATTTCTATATTGGGGAATGCTAAGCCCTAAACTAAACCCGAACACCCCGCGACCTGGAGTGTTAGGAATTGTTCTTCGGATTGCCTCATCTACGTCCTCACCTCATCTACGTCCTGAAAGCCGCAAGGCCTTAAACAATAAACCCTCGACCCAAAATCCTAAACGGCCAGCCCAGAATCTTGAAATATTTCAAACGTAGGTTGCTTGCAGTCAAGCCGCTCTGTAATGTCCAGCGAAACACTACTGCAGGGGCCTTAATACTTAGAATAGGGTATTTTGAGGGTTCCTTATTCACCCTATAGTAAAATATGCCCTAAACTCCTAAACCCTATTCTAGAAATTGAGGCCCCCTATAGATTAGAGATTCGAGGCTCAGGGCTGGGCAACAGTCTCGCGAAGGCTTGCAGTGTAGATGCCGCGAGAGCGGGCATAGGCGAGAAACTTCTGGATCGCTTCCCTGTACTCAGGGCCCAGGGGGAGTCCGTAGTCAATCGGATCCGCATCACCCTTGACTACTGCACAGTTAAGACTTCAACAGCTCGACGCACTCAAGAACTCAGCTAACTCATTTGGAAGCAACCGTGAGCAACATTCGGGCTTAAACTCCTACTACGAACCATCATGCATTGCACTCCGTTCATCCGCATGCCGGACGCGTTCCATGTTTGCCAGAGAGCAACACTTTCGCACGTGCTTAGCCCGGCGAGTACCCGAAGGCTCCATAGTAGTCTCCATTGTGGGCTTCATATCTTTGAATCCTATAAGATAATCCCCAAAAAGGAACTGCTATGGAGCCTCTGGGAAATCAGAAATCAACGTCAATCAATAACAGGTTTGCAGTGAGTCTTTTTGGCAGAACATTAGCCTCTTGGTTGGGGGTTGCCTTCTTGTTGGGCGGTCTTTGTTTTTTAAGAGGTCCCTACTCTGTTTAGAATTCTATAAGTTCGCATGTCTTCTGAACTGCTCACATAGACTTCCTGCATGCGGACGGTATCTTAGAAGGTGCAGGCCTCTCGGTAAGAACGTGTCGGGCATAGGCATGAGGGCTTAACGTTTGGGGTCTAGGGCTTTAGGATTGCAAGGGTTAGTATGCAAAACAAGGACCACTAAGATGCCTCGAGCTTAATTCTGGGGGGTCTTTACAACAAGGATCCTACTATTTAGGGTACTAGATTAGGGTCCCTTATTTTCGGAAACTCCCATGTTGCTGTAGCCCCAAACCTCCCACGCTCTTTCTGCTCCTCCTCCGCTCCTTTCGGCCGGAGACCTTCGACTTCACAGCTTCGGTCGTTCGGAAAGGGGGTGGACTTGGGCTGTACCCAGAGGCCCCATAGTAGTTCCCGTTTTGGGATTTCCTCAAAAGCTTCTAAATATGAACCCTTAAAGGGAACTACTATGGGGCCTGAGGGTATTTTGGGCTTTACAGCGTCTTGTGTCCGGTTTGGGGTTGCAAGTTTCGAGGGCTTTGGCGGGGTTCGGTGCAGGGTTCTCAATGGCTCAGTGGAGGTTTGGTGATCAGATAACTGAGCCCCTCAAACACTAAACCCCAAAGTCTGAACCCTAAACCCTAAAGTCTGAACCCTAAACCCTAAACCCCAAACTCTGAACCCTAAACCCTAAACTCTGAACCCCAAACCCTACAGCCCTAAAGCTGAAAAACCTAAACCCTAAACTCTGATCCCCAAAGTCTAAAGGCCCCAAAGCCCTAAAGCTGAAAACCTACCTTAACCCGGAATAACCTACCTTTTTAAGGACTTATATAGGGAAATCATAATAAGGAACCCTAGATAGGTAGGTTATTCAGGGTTAAGGACCCCTTAACCCTGAACCCTAAACCCTATACCATAAACCCTATACCCTAAGGTAAACCCTAGCCAAGGCTCCCAAGGCTTGCCAGGCCCCTGTCGCTGCGCCACTACACCCCAAAGATCCTAGAGCCCAAGGGGCAAAGCTGAAACACCACAGATAGGGTTTAGGGTTTAAGGGTTGAGGGTTTAGGGTTTAAGGGCTTAGGGTTTTGGGTAGAAGCCAGAACCCTGCTCTCCCTTGAAATCGCAAAGCCGGAAAACCTGAACACGAATTTTGGACTAGCGGCCAGGATGATTAGAATCACGGCCCTGTACGGGTACTATAAGACTCCCCTGAAGGACAAAATTACGGCTACTAAGGAATTAGTACCGGCAGCGTCATGCATAGAATAGGATTGACTAGAAGCTTGAATTTCGTTTACATCATATTTTTGCTATATTGGGATTACTGCGGGTCAATTAGTGCTAAAAAGCGAGCACCACAACCTTAGAACCCCAAAAGAGGTCTGGTTGAGTGATATCGGATCAGGCCCAACACCTGAAACCCCTGAACCCATAAAGCCCCGATTGAAGCACAGAACAGCCTAGCCCTTATAGTAGCCCTCATAGACCCCCTTTGACAAGGTACCCTATTCTAACTAAGTAGGGTGCCTCGCCCGCCTTCGGAACCTCGGGTTGGGGTCTCCCGATGACCCGGAGCCCAATGAAAGCGCTTGACGTACCACACTAGCAAGAAACCCTTTTTCGATCCATTTAGATACGAGGAAACTGGGTTAGTGCGGATTTGCACGGCCGAGCTGCAGCCGTTGCAGCTTCAATCGCTGAAGAGACCTGCTCCCAAGCAACACCCATACATAGGATTGGCTTCCCTTGGGTGTGGGATGCTTGTTTTAGCCCGAGGGTCCCGGGAGGTTGGGATGCTTTAAGGTTCGGAGTTTGGGGTCTTTGGGGTTCTGGGTGTTTCTCCCACAGGCTCCAAGTAGCATTATGGTATATACTTAGACCCCCAAAATACCCTTTAGGTACATAGTGGGTCTCGGGCCAGGGTTTAAGACGCTTTGGGTTTCGGATGGTTTGGGCTTCTGAGCTTAGGGAGGTATTCAGCCGTCGGGCCATGCTCTATATTAAATCCCGAAAGCTTGAACCCTGAAATCCGATGCTCGGAAGGGTAATAAGAGGGCTCTGCTTGCCACGGTGAACAGCACAGCCGTCACAGCAAGGGTTGCTACAAGGGGCTACGACAAGAACTTAGTTGCTGAGTTCATAAGCCCCCAAAAGTGTACACCTTCAGCTTTATAGTGGGTAATATTTTCCCCAAAAGTGTAAAGTGTATCGACTCAGCTACTAAGACAAGACTTCGGAGCCAAAAAGGCTCAAAGTATTCTACGCAACGAATGCTGACTTTGAAGGGCTCCCTACAAGCTTCATCCGGTGTTGCCGGCTCTTTTTATGCCGGGCCTAGCCTGAAGCTCCCAAGCTCCAGGGAACTAAATGCTCAGAATAAGGTTGAAGAAGGCTCTCCAAGAACAAGGGGGGAACGGCACAACGAGACGGCCGTCACAACTGTATGAAAGTGATGTGACGCAGCAGTCATGACTCTTGAATCTTGACTGCATGCAGGTTTGGCAGACTATTCCAGGTCTCCTAGGTCATCCTTGGACGCAGCAGTGGATCGTCGTCCCGGCATAGCCCTTCAACTGCAACATCCTGCCCGGCCCTAGTGCCCCATGACGGATTCATCAGACGTCACGTGTGAAGCCACCTGCTTGTGCCGACAACACCCCAGTCTCCGACTGAGGTCCCACAATACGTGGCGGCCTAATTTGAGGTTTTGGCGTGTTGTTGGGTTACGGCGTTGAGTCAGCAAACCTCGCAAGGCCCAAACGCAAAACCGCAAAGCCCTGAATGCCGAGTGGGCCTCATACAGTGGCATATAATCCCCGTTGCATTCATGGCCTCTTCAACCCAGAAACCCTGCAACCGAGAAGTGTCACTTCTGACGCGCAAGGCCGACCCTACTACGCTCTCCTTTGGAGCCCATATCATACCCAGAGACTCTGATATCCCTTACTTAGAGAATATACCTCAAATCATTTTAGGGATCTTACGATGTATAATTTAAGGTATATATTCCTTAATTAAGGGATATTGGAGTCTCTGGGTACCGCTTCAAGGTTGGAGGTTGGGGCTTCCGATTATACACTTATGATCTAGCCGTTCTCTAGTTATGCAGGCCATTCTGTGAGCCCTTATATAACCTCCTTTCGGAACCCTAACCCCTAAACCCTGAACCCTAAACCCTGAACCCTAAACCCTGAACCCTAAACCCTGAACCCTAAACCCTGAACCCTAAACCCTGAACCCTAAACCCTGAACCCCAAACCCTGAACCCTAAACCCTGAACCCTAAACCCTGAACCCTAAACCCTGAACCCTAAACCCTGAACCCTAAACCCTGAACCCTAAACCCTGAACCCTAAACCCTGAACCCTAAACCCTGAACCCCAAACCCTGAACCTCTCTACCATATAGTAATTTAAACCTTAATGGACTCGTGGCTAATTGATCAAAGCTTTGTGGCTAATTGATCAAAGCGTCGTGGCTAATTGATCAAAGCGTCATGGCTAATTGATCAAAACTCGTGGCTAATTGATTTTTCCAATGTTTAGCACCGTGTCCAAACTTGTGGCTAAATGATCAAAACTCGTGGCTAATTGATTTTTCCAGCGTTTAGCGGCGACGGGTTTAGGGGTCCAGGTTTAGGGGCCTCGGGTTTAGAGCCAGGGCTGTGTTTAGGGCCTTGGGTTTAGGGCCCCAGCCCCAGTGTTTAGCGGCTTCGGGTTTAGGGCTCCAGTGTTTAGCGGCTTCGGGTTTAGAGCTCCAGTGCTTAGCGGTCAGTGTTTGGGGTCCTAGTGAGCGGCCTCGGGTTTAAGGCCCCAGTGTTTAGCGGCTTCGGGTTTAGAGCTCCAGTGCTTAGCGGTCAGTGTTTGGGGTCCTAGTGAGCGGCCTCGGGTTTAAGGCCCCAGTGTTTAGCGGCTTCGGGTTTAGGGCCTCACGTGGGCTGCACACTTGTTTTGATGATGGTCGAGGGTTTTGGCTGAACGGTCATCGCAAAGAAACTTGACGGCTGTGGTTGCTATCGTAAAGCGATGGCGTGACCGCAGCCTCAGCTGTTTCAAGATCCACGGTCGAAGATGTGCTTGCCAGTGTGCCACGGCCAAGAGAGGTTGGAATCGTTCTTGATCAGTTGCTCAATGCGCTGCCTTGAACGGTCATCGCAAAGAAACTTGACAGCTGTGGTTGCCGTCGTAAAGCGATGACGTGACCGCAGCTTCAACTGTTTCATGATCCATCCTTGGGATGGTTTAGATTCTGCTCTGTTAAAGCCGTTCATTAAGACTATGTGAACCGACGGTGCTGACACTCTAATACAGCAAGTCACAATCTGCTGAACGGTCACCGCAAAGAAACTTGACAGCTGTGGTTGCTATCGTAAAGCGATGGCGTGACCGCAGCTTCAACTGTTGGGGCAATGCTTTCTGGTTTGGAAGTCGATGCATTGAAAGGCATGAGATCGAATTCGATAGCGCTGGTTGCTATCGCAAAGCGGTGGCGTGACCGCAGCCTCAGCTGTTTGAAGCAATATCGTCCTGCTACAGTCGATGCATAGCAGTAGACAAAGGCCAATGTAAAAACATTTAGGATATGAAATTTCACGGTTGTGGCTGCGAAAACAAACACGAACCGTATGAAAATTCTTGGAGTTGTATGTAAGTTATTAGTAAATATTTAATGCCCCAAGAAATAAAACCTTTAATTCTAATGTGAGGGGATTCTCTGGGCGGGTGGGGTTTCTTCTTGAAGATAGCTTGATTAGGAATAGCTTGACGTGAAATCTTCAAAGTCAGAGCTGCTGAACCCTAAACCCTAAACCTTGAACCCTAAACCCTGAACCCCAAACCCTGAACCCTAAACCCTGAACCCCAAACCCTGAACCGTAAACCTTGAACCCTAAACCTGAACCCCAAACCCGAACCCTAAACCCTGAACCCCAAACCCTGAACCCTAAACCTGAACCCTAAACCCTGAACCCCAAACCCTGAACCCTAAACCCTGAACCCTAAACCCTGAACCCTAAACCCTGAACCCTAAACCCTGAACCCTAAACCCTGAACCCCAAACCCTGAACCCTAAACCCTAAACCTTGAACCCTAAACCCTGAACCCTGAACCCTGAACTGCAACAAGGCTGAAGACCGCCTCGCTAAAGCCACGGCCCCCGCTGCAGGGGAAGGGCAGCGTCACGTCCTCGGAAATCGAATTCAGGGCTTGGGTTTAGGGGTTTAGGGTTTAGGGTTTAGGGTTTAGGGTTTAGGGGTTTAGGGGTTTAGGGTTTAGGGTTTAGATGTGTAGAATACCCAGAGGCTCCATGGTAGTTCCTTTTTGGGATTAACTTTTGGGATTTGGAACTACTATGGAGCCAAAGAATAAGGCTTAAGTAGAAAAGGAGTTTCTTTCAGGGTTCCTGAAGGGGGGCTTTTCAAGGGTTCCACAGTAGAGGGTCTTGCGTTCTTCAAGGGGGTTCCTGCTTTCTTAGGATTCTTGAAGGCATCCTCCTCAGGCGTACAGTAACTGGAGGCAGCTACTTAAATCGAATTCCTCAAGCAAACCTGCGCCATCCCTGCAATCGTTGCCCTCTACGCTGCGCCAAAGCCTCAAAGCATCGGAGCTTCCGCCGCACGCTCCGTCGAGCTTGGACCGGCGAAATCCCCAGAGACTCCAATATCCCTTAATTAAGGAATATACCTTAAATTATAGTAGGATCCCTAATATGATTTAAGGAATAATTAAGGGATATTGGAGTCTCTGGGTCCCTTCAAAGCCAAGTCCGCAGACCACGCAGGTCCCGTTGAGACCGCTTGCGAGTACTCACCGGGACGGGGCTGCGCCAGACGGCAATTGCGCAGATCTATCAATTCTTGCGACTGCACGAAGACCGGATCTTCTTGTCCCATGCAAGCCTTTAGGGCCTTAATAATTGGAATCGGGTTTTGGGGCATGCCATATATCTATATATATATATATATATATATATATATATATATATACATATTATGATTATAGACATATCTGCACATATCATTAGACAATGCTTGCTCACTTCAAAACGAAGAGCTACCACTCCCCAAACCTCTTGATTCAACCTCGCAGTGCCTTTGTGTGATATGCAGCGACCCTTACAAAGCCCAGCAGAAATAGTCAAGGGCCTGCATACCCCAAACTAAAGCGCCCAAAGCCTGATCCCGGATGCCCAACCGGGCTTAAAGCTCACAAAACTCTGAACCCCAAGACTCATGCCCTGAATCTAAAGGCCAGTTTAGAACGTGAGAACCTGAAAAAACAGCCTAAATTCCTGAAACCTCAAACTGCAACTTCCCATAAACCCAAAATGAAAACCTACAAACCCCATAAAGCCCCCAAATTTCCGCCCAGAGAGCCAGGAGGTTGGCAAAGGCCGTCACGAGGCGAACCTTCAGAGCGAGCCAAGCGGATCCCAGCTCGTTGATGGCTGTGGTTTTGGGTCTATAGGGTTTAGGGCTTTTTCGGTGGCGTCTTCTTGAGGAAGTTGATGTAAGTTCCAACAACACGAAAACCCATGTAGTATCACATTACTATAGGTCCCTATTATGGTAACTTATATGGAGCTCCTGAAAAGAAGCTCAGTAAGACTTCCTAGGGGTGCAAGTCAAAAACAAAACTAAATATGTGGGTTTTGGATACTAGCAAGGTTGGTCGGTTTTGTTGAAATATGTGAGTGTTTGATTTCCAGGCA